CCAAAATTACACTGAGAACAAATTACCCACCTTGCCCAACTGACTCGTATATATAAACAGCTGAGAAAACTCATCACATGTGGCCTGATGATTGCGTTTAGCAATAAACAATCTGTCGCCTGTGAGTGTTGACTTTGATGTTCCCCTATATATATATATATATATATATATATATATATATATATATATATATATATATTGTCATCCACAGACAGACTGTTTCGCTCTGTCACAGCTCTGCAGTGTGGCTAGACATCCGGTTGCTTCTAGCTAGGATCGAAAAATATATATATATATATATATATATATATATATATATATATATATATATATAAGTAATGATAATCTTGGTAATCCGAATGGATGATCCCAAGGAGGATGAAAACCGGAGAGCTCAATGTTAAATCAGGGCAATTAATTTAATGAAATCAGATAACTTGGGTCCATTGGTTATAATTTATTTCTCCAAGGAATTTCTTTATCCCTGGCTCAACAGACCAAACTTCCAAGGGTTAAATATATATATATATACACTTTTAGAGTATCACGCACCCATACTTATACAAACACATATAAAATATTGTGGGAAATAAAGAAAAATAGATTTACGTGAGTGGAACAGCGATGCTGACCGGAAACTCCTAATGCGCGAACGCCTCATTCTCCTCCGCTTTAGTTGCCTTCCATTTTGATTGTCTTAACGGATGAGGGCAAGGGTATATTATAGAAATCCCTGTACCTCATATTCGACAGGCTTTTTGGCCAGCAGCGAAACAAGTTGTTCTTATTGTCCCTGTCTGTTATTACTGTGGTTACCTGAACCTAGCGGAGAGGGTCACAAAGGAAGGGCGTTTTCTCCTACCACCCGGTCATTTACCAGTTATCTCAACGTTGCTCTTTTCAGTCGAATTCCTTTTTGACAAAAATAACTCCCAATACACTTAATGATATTGACATATACTGACAGATATGAATATATATTGACAACTACAACTCTTAATTTCCTTGACATAGCTACAGCAACCTCGGTTCTCGAACGTCTCACATGTCGAACAAATCGCTTTTCAAACAGAAAATCTGAGATGAAAATGCCTCGGTTATCGAGCAAAATTTCGGTTCTCGAACAACATTGTCGAACCGAGTTAACCCGAACGGAATAATTTCTGAGTCGACTGCCGTGTTATATATATTCGTGTGTTGTTTTGTGCATTTTTTTTTTCAATTTTATTGTAAGATGACTTATTTTTTCTACATTGATTCCTATTGGAAAATAGTCTCGGTTTACAATAAGTTCGGGTTACGAACGACCTTCAGGAACGAATTAAATTCGTTAACCGAGTTTCCACTGTATTGATATTTTTCTGTCGTGTTAATTCATGAGTGTATCACACCAAACATCACGGTCATGCATGAAGGTCAGAAAGACATTAGAGAGACATTTTGTGTCATAACATTGCTGGTCAATATACGTGTTTACTGGTCGACCAACCCGTCTTGATCCATGGCTATCTGTCCAGAGCATTAGATCGTTTTTCTCGACAGCATTCTCCTGCAATACGCATTTTGCGTTCGCGTATGATTATAGAAGCACCTGGAATGTGTCCATGGAGCTGTGATTTAGTTGGGTGTTGTCTCCAAGAGATGTTAAGTATTGCTCTCAGCATACGAGTGTAGGTTCTATCTACTTTAGACTCAAGGGTTTTAGTTAATGCCCAAGAAGTGGCACCATACCCTACACCGCCCCTACAAAGGCTCGAAATAATCTCTAGATGAACTTGTATGGTAGATCAGATTTAAAGATTACATCAAATTTATTCAAGGCGGACCAGTCTTTTCACATACTTTTCAGTAGAATTTATCTCGCTTCAAATGTATGTAAAATGTTCGACAGGTTTTGTTGATTCAGCTGAGATAGTTTTTATTGAGCCTTGTTGGTTGAAGCTTATGAATTGGTAACCTTTTCTAGTTGATGTAGGAGAATTGGAGCATAGTGGTAAAAGTAATGGTGTCTGCAGTCATAGCAACATCAACTGTATAGTCAATATTTGTCAACATTTTTGCAGGATATCGACTTGTTGATAATTTAATTTTTTCGGAGGTCAGAAGCACCGGTATCTCCCAACGATCTGTAACGGAATATACCATAGGGAAGGCATAGAAAGATGGAAAGAAAGCTGCATACTTTCTTTCCAAAAGAAAAGAAATCTATGATCGGTAAAAAAAAAAAAAATTATGCAGGAATCATTTCCATTACAGCAAAAATTTGCAACTCAATGCTTTCAGAAGAATTGATTTCTAAAACAACTAAAAGCATAAAAGTTGCTTTGAAAAGATCAAAATGGCTTTCGGAAAAATACATCAACCATTGAACAAATCCTGACTGTTCGGCAGGACAAAGATTCTTCAAACCGCCTTAGTTTTTTGTAGATTTCTCTAAAACCTTCGATTCTATACATAACAGAATAATAGAAAATATTCTTCTTGCATATGGCATCCCCTCAACGATATAGTAACTGCCATAATGATGTTACATAATAATACCAAGCATTTAGTTAGATCCTTAGAGG